CAGATAAAATGACTACAACTTTGGTTTCCCTTTAACCACACTTTAACCTTCAATGTAAAAGATCTAATGTCTGTAATCAGTTTGATATCGGTTGGAAGTGTGTTCCACAGATGGCAAGCCTTTATAGAAAAAGCTAACTGACCGAATGTAGATCTGCGATATAATATCTTGCAGTTGCCGTTCACCTTACTCCTAGTAACACGATTACTGTCTTGTCTCTGAATGTATCTATTGAGACACTCTGGGGCCATCCTATTTATACATTTAAAAACTAATTTAAGATAACACCAATGATTAAAACTCTTAAAACTAAGTAAGTTATATTTATGTAAAATGTGACAATGATGCCACCAAACCGATTTTTTATCCATTATTTTTAAAGATTGATTATATAAGGATACCACAGGCTGAATTGTAGATGGTGCTGCTTGGGTCCAAACTGTCATACAATATGAAAAATGCAAAAATATCATAGAATGCATAAATAACTGAGCTGCTGAAGTGGGTATATAGTGCCGAATTAACTTAAAACAATTCAGATTAGCCTTGACCGTCTTAGAAATCTTCTTTACATGCTTGTCAAATTTAAGATGTGAATCTAAAATTATTCCTAAAAACTTAAAATCTTTGACCTCCTTTATTTCTTTGTTCCCTAGGTTGATTTTAAAATCATTAGATGAATTTTGTTTCCTAATCGAAAAACACATAGAAACAGTTTTTTTAAAATTCAGTACAAGATGATTTTGTTCCAGCCATTTTTGGACACCATTTAGATGTACCGTTAAGGTGTCTGCTGCTTCACCAGGTGACTTAGCTGGTATGTGTATAACTGCATTATCAGCATAAAGTTGGCAGTTGGCTTTTGGGCAGCTGGTAGGCAAATCATTTATAAACAAACTAAATAACAATGGGCCAAGAACAGATCCTTGGGGAATACTGATTCTGTTTTCCAACATGGATGACTTTTCTTTATCAACCCTCACACACTGTTCTCTTTTGTGGAGATAGGACTCAAACCAGTCAACTGCTTGCTTTGAAAAGTCAAATTTTATCAACTTAGAAAGAAGT